GGGGCCACATCTGGCCCCCGGGCCTTAGGTTGCCTACCCCTGATTTACTGGATTTAATTCTTGCCCTTCCTACACATTGCTGAAGTTACCACCATGAGGATTGCCCCATTTGAACATCACAGCATGATAACAGGTGAGTGTGGTTGAGGACATGAGAAAGAGAGATACTTATCCAGTCTTCTCTGATGAACCAAGTTTATCTGATTGCCTAGCTGAAAAAAGTGAGGGAAGCTATGGATGCAAGGTGGCAAACTCTTCATTAAGTCAACCCACAATGGTCTTGAAATTAGAAGAAAATGTTTTATTTGCAAGGAAATATCCTAGTTGACAACAAAGCAAGCCAGGGAATGTGAAAGGGTGGGGGAAGAATAGAACAGAATCTCTTGGGAAAATGAACTAATGTAGTGGTTGGATTGTTGGTGCTGCTCTGTGGTAAGAGTTCTATGTATGTCTCTCTGTTTACACAGCACCAATTCTATTGATTTTGTTTGTTTGTTTTAATGTAATGTTTTGCATTACATGGATCTTTAAAAAAACACCACTAAGCCAGCATGGTGTAGTGGTTTGAGTGTTGGACTATGACTCTGGTGACCAGTGTTCAAATCCCTGTTCAAGCATGAAAACCTTTGGGCAAGTCACACTCTCTCAGCCTCAGGAGAAGGAAATGACAACTCCACTCTGAACAAATTTTCCCAAGAAAACCCCATGGTAGGGTGTGATAAGTTGGAAATTACTTGACACAGAGAAGAACAACAACTTGGAAAAAGGTACCACTGGCAATTCACCATCCATATGCCATCTCATGTGTAGCCCTAAACACCAAAGAGTGTTCTATTTCAAAGTCACTGTGAGAATGCACACACATGCACTAAACACACACACACACGTTAAAATCCATGGATCAGGGACAATCCTACTTTATTTCCTGCCTTCTGGATTGCTTCCAAATCTAATTTTGCCTATTAGTGCCCATTCCAGTTCCATTGCTGTCAATTTTTGGCTTCTAATTTGCTTCAGTCCTTTGGTTTCTGTCATTTGTGTTCATGACCTTCCTTGTAGTTGTGAAAGCATTAATTAACTAATTGGTTCATTTGAAGCAATCCTGCCTCTATTCAGTCAAGATTTTAAGTGCTATAAGCCATTTGAAAAGGTGTCCCACGTGGGTGGTATTGTTTTAATCTTTGCACCTCTCTCAGTTCTTAAGCCTTACATTTTAGATGATATTCCAGACAATGAATTGTGCATGCCCTTATGTCAAGGAGAATGATTGTCTCCATTAAATATTCTAAATGTATTGACTACATTGTGATGCAGCAATATTTGTTCTGGTTGATACATCATGAAACATAACACTGACTAAAAAAATGAATCAGTCCTTTCCTGTGGCACCTTACCTCCTGAGTTTTCATGGACTGTAGACCATTTCATCAGATACACAGAATATTATCTAGATGTTGCTGTACATGCATACAATGCATATGATTGTAAGTGGGACTGTAGTTAGTAAGTGAAGTCAGAAGGAAATTCAGCACAGAAAGTAGACAGTATCAATTGCATTATTAACACTAGCCATCTTTTAGATGACAAAGCTCATCATCTAAAATCACTTGACTTTATGTATTTATTTATTTATTTCAAAGATTTATATCCCACCTTTCTCCCACAATGAGATTCAAGGTGGGTTTAATTTAACTTCACTGCAGCAGGGCTTGAGACTTGAGGCTTGCAGGATTTGTGTTGTTAGTCACAACCACTGCCCAGTACATACCAGTGACCCAGGAAGGCAAGTGCCTAGACCCACTTACTGTCTAATTGCTGAGGATTTATATATTCTGGGGACTTCCTGATTCACAGTTTAGGGTTTGGGCCATTCTGAGACACCACAGCCCCTTCATGCCTCCATGTTTTATAACAAAAAGGAGGTGCCTCTGAGCACACACACAAACCAGGAAGTTCATTTTGGTACCAGAAATGTGAGGACAAAGTCTCCTAAACACATCTTTTGTTCCCCTCTCCCTTTCATGATTTTAGCAGCCTAATTTAGAATACTAAAAAAGAAGTTTTGTTGTCAATATTGTTGAACAATTGAGAATCAGAATCTACAAGAAATTGTCCAGACAAACTATTAGTTCCTTCTGTTATCATTCCATTACAACAGTGCTGCTAGTCTTTCCTGTATATACATTGTTTAGATGGCTTCCTAATTCTGCTCAGGCCATTGTAACTGTCTTTATGTTTCTAAAATATATTGTCCAACTTCTTGTCTCGTTATTCCATTTGTTGTAATTATCTCATGGAGCAATAACAGTTGGTTATTAACAGTCCTGAGAAATCAGGATAAAAAACAGAGAAAGGATCACCATAAAGAATAATCAGGTTCTATTTCCAAGGGCCGTTTCATGCTATGCAGTTATAGCACTATGATTCCATTTTAGCTATCATGGCTCCATTCTATGGAACGCTAGGATATGTAATTTGTGAACTATTTAGAATTCTCTACCAAAGAACTCTAGTACTCTCAAACTACAAATCCCAGGATTCTATTGTGTGCACTCATAGCAGTTAGTGTAAAAAAACTCCAGGTGTCAAACAATGGAAGGCTGAGTCTCCAAGGTGGCAAGAGAAGTGATGATGTTGCTTCCAGCAACTGAAGTGTGTTTTTAGTTTGCCTTCTCTACAGAGATGGATTGCTTTGTAAAGAAAGCTGGGAGAGTCACAACTGAGCTACAGGTGTCTTCATCCTGCCTCTGTGCCAGTCCAATCCCTAAACACTTTTGCACTGCTGGCATCACAGAGGCAGCATCTAAATAGATGGGGAAATGTAATATTATTGCTAATGAGTTTTGGTTTTTATTTATTACATATATAGCTCATCTTTTTTCCAGGGAACAGTGTAAAATACATGCCTCTTTCTTCAACTTGTATCACCACTTCAAGTCTATGAGCTACGGTAGATTAGGCGGAGAAATAGTGACTGGTCCAAGGCCATACAGTGAACTCTATGACTGAGTGGGCATTTGAACCCAGTTTTCCCCAGTCTTCATCTGGCATGTACTGATACTCAGTATACCACACAGATGGATCATCCAAATAACAGTGCTCCCTGTATTTGGCATTCATTTAGCACTTTTAGAAGGTTAATACAGCTTCACAGCTCTTGCTTTAGCGATCCTTACAAAACCTGGTGGGTAGTTTGATATTTTTATCTCTGCCTGACTGGTGGGGACTGAACCTGTGGCATGCCTAGACCCACTTACTATCTAATTGCTGAGGATTTATATATTCTGGGGACTTCCTGCTTCACAGTTTAGGAGGGTTTGGGCCATTCTGAGACACCACAACCCCTTTATGCCTCCATGTTGAATAACAAAAGTTTATAGTATACAGCTTAAATATATGAACAGAAACAGGCCTAACTGACAGCAACCTCAGAATTTGGCATTTGTAAGCAAAGAATTTTTTGAAAGCTTTGTAGCTATGTGACACACTCTTTTAGTACAGGAATTTTACCCATTGAGTCTACCTGATGAATAGAGAATTTACTGCCATTTACAGAGAACTGTAGGATTCTCATGTTGATGCCTACTTAGGCTATGCTTTTCCCCTTATGTGTGCATGTATGTCTTTCCCATTTGCCCTGATACTGTCTCTTTGTCTCTCATATGAACAAGTGATGATGAATATAAAGCAAAATCACCGCTACTTATGTCATGGATGCCTCCAGTTAATTCCTGTAACTGCCAGTGAGGAGTCACTAATACCTCTGCAAAATACAAATTAATTATTTCTAAACATAGCTCCCTCTCCTCACCCTCTTACTGCCTAACTTTGCTGAAGGTTGGTCAGCTGTCAGGCTGGGCATCCCATTCTAGTTAACAAGAACAAATACTGGGAATACTATCAAAAAGTAACTGAGTAGTATCACCTAAGGAAGCAAAGTAAAACTGTGAAGTTACCTTGGGTAAAGAATTTCCTCTTCCACACCAAATTTTACCCTCTCAAATTCCCGCTTTGCAAGCAAAAGAATTCTAATGTTAGATGGACCTTCTAAAAAGTTTGTTGGCTTGCACTGACATCTGGTCAAGTCATTTCAAATGGAAGCCACAAAAAAGATTTTAAAAGCCTGCAAAAACTCAGAAGTCCATTTTTCTTCTTTTCACAATTGTTTACTCCAGGTTTTGTTACAGCAGAGGCAGCAGTGATGTCTGTATCAGAATCTAGTCCAGGTTTTAATTCAAACTTTAAAGGAGATATCCAAGGTGCTGATGATATTTGGGGGACAACATGCCCCAGACCAGGTTCTTAGTAAAGGAGAACATCACCTGATGCTTGACACCCCAAAGGGTCAAATTGTAAAGTCATGGATGCCTAAAGAAGATATCATTGGGGACACTCACAATATGGAAATAACCTGATATAAAACTGGGTTATTTCCTTGCTGTTCACACTTGCCCCAAATGCACTCAGTTCACTTTGTAGAGGGGGCTACCCAAAAACCCACTTAACTCTGGATATTTTATACCAGGTTCTTTCCCCTCCCTCCCCCCCATTTCTTTTTGAAAGAATCACATTGATCTGTATCTTCAGCAGTGTGAACATGCTACTGAATTGATTTGGATTGCTCTGTATTGTTCAAAGGAATGGAGGCAGCTCCTTTTTATCCCAGAACAATCACATGTATGAATAACAATAGGGGTAAAATGACTTGGAGATTTAGAAACACAAAACGTAATGGGAACAACGATCCTGGTATACATCTAAGTCAGTGATAGGCAACCTTTCCCCTTTAAGGGCCGAGGGACTTCAGCTCCCAGAAGTCTCAGCCATGTTGGCCAATAGTCCCATGTTGGCCAATAGCTCCTGGGATTCTGGGAGCTGAAGTCCCTCGGCCCTTAAAGGGGAAAGTTTGCCTTCCCCTGATCTAAGTGTATACATCTAAGTGACCTAAGTGTATCTTAGGTCCAAAACACACTGCAGAAATAATCCAGTTTGAGACCGCTTTAAGTGCCCTGGCTCAGTGCTAGGGAATCCTGGGTATTATAGTTTATTGTGGCACCAGAGCTCTCTGTCAGAGAAGGCCAAATGTCCCACAGAACTACAGTTTATAGAATTCCCTAGCACTGAGCCATCCTCTCTCCCATGCCCCATCCCTTTATCCTTCCCCCAGCAGAAGAGGTTATCTTGGATCTTCTCTGGCCTAGAGATACACTCTTTTTCTGTCCTAGTAGTGAGAACTGTTCCTTTAAACTAGTGGCTTTGGTTGGCTATCTTTGCCTAGAATTTGAAGATAGAGCCACGTTGGACTGTAGAATCAGTATGCAGAGAGATCTTGTAGCACCTTTGAGACTAACTGAAAGAAAGAAGTTGGCAGAATGACTAAGCTTTCATATACTTAAGTCTGCTTCCTCAGAGGCATTTGGACTTGCATCTGAGGAAGTAGACTTAAGTCTACAAAAGCTCATTTTGCCAACTTTTTTCTTTCAGTTAATCTCAAAGGTTCTACAAGATCTCTTTGCCTAGAATGGAGAATAGTGGACAAAAGTATGTTCCATTGGTATTATAAAGCCATTGCAATTCTTGATTATCCTATGTTGGTACAAGATCTGCAGAGCTGGAA